ACTTCTTTTGGCAGGAAAAAAATCTATTGACTTCCCCCAAGCAACTATAAAAAATAAAATGATGAGACCACCATGACCTAAATGTTTGAACTGCTAACAGTGAAATGCAACTGACAGCTGTGGGAGCAGCAAACTGAAGCAAAGGTCAAACTCTCGTTGTGAATGTACCACGAGAGGCTGATGAGCAGGTGGAAATAAGAGTGAAAAAAAAAAACCCTTTACAACCACAATTGGATGACCTAATTCTTTCAAACCAACTGTTCTTTCTTTTTTTCTTTTTTTTAAAACCTGTCCTGCCCAGCAGCCTGGTATAGAGTATAATGACCTGGATACCATATTACCAGATTTTACTTTAACAAGAGAGTATTAAAATACTCCTTTGTCTGTTTTATTATTGATTTAATTATGTATTGATTTGTCACCGGCCGGACAGGGGGGCAGACACGGGGATGGGGGGGCACAAACAGACAGCACAGAGAAAGGACAACACCTGTAAGAGAAGGGGGATGGAGGGGGGGGGACAACAGGGAAAAGCTGTGGGAAACACCAATTGCAGAAAGCAACGAAACCTGCAATAGAACAGAGAGGGGGGCTTGGGGAGGAGAAAAACAACAACAAACAATAAAAATAATAATAGTAAAAGACAACCAGCCGAACAGCAGCAATAAACAGCTGACATGTTAAGACAACTAAGAGAAAAATGAAAACAAGAAACAGTCACACACTAAATAAGCAACACAGCACAGCCACGAGAGCTGGAATAATAACAATTAATTTATATAAGTAACTGAGAGTGGGACGCCACGACTGCGCCACACCGACCCCAGCAACAGGCAGGCAAGAACCCCAGTAGCCAATAGGGGTGGGAGAAAGAAAAAAACAAAAAACAAAGACTCCCAGATGCACCGCGATGCAAACGCGGAAGACGCCGACCCAAATGCCAGTTGACAACGTAATGCCGACGGAACGCAACTCGCGGAAGAGCAGCGCGCACACAACATAGACCAGTGCCCCCCCCCCCCCCCCCCCCACCCAGCACCCCACCGCCGCGCAGTGAACAACCAAAACGCCCAAATACCACGCAATCATCAACACCAATGCACAAGTGACGAGTCCAACACTGCGCGAGCACGTCGACACCCAATGCCCAGCAGCCCCCTGCGAAGCCAGCGGAGAGAAACACCAGCAGCAAGTCCCAGCCCGGCAGCAAACGCGCCGCACAGGTCACCGTGCACCCGTCAATAAAAGTCCGCCGTCCCCCCAACCGCCGGAAAAAACTAAGGCCGCCCCATGCCCCCCCCCTGGCCGCCGTGCAACACCAGCCAAACCAGCAACGAGGCAAAATCAACCAGCTCAGCTGCATGCCACCAACAACCCACCCACCTGTCAAGGGCCGAGAACTCCAGGCACAAACCCAGAACAAACCGGAGCACAGCCCTGCCCCGCACCCACACTGCACATCCCGAAAACTAACTATATACCTCAGTATCCAGAGGGGTCCAACTGTTTCAATAAATAACCTGATTGTGGTCTAATGTGTTCAGCACTTTTCACTCTGACCCCACCACAGTTCTTGTATTGATTCATGTCCTCTGACCTATGAGAAGTGTTTTACATTTATACCACAGCACGGACATTGAAAAATAAAACTGATGTCGTGATTTCAACCTTTACACAACAAAGCTATTTTAAAGCAGGAACATTTAGATAATTTTGTGTTTGTGACTACTGTCTTGAAGCACGTTGTTTAGCTTCATACACGACCTACAACACAGGGTTGGCTGGTATATTATTGGCTCTGCCCCCCTCCATTATCAGACCATATCTAACAGTCATATCCTCTCACATACAAACATGAATTTGAAAAGTCACATCCTGAATGTGAATAGTTTTCCAGTTGTTTGCATCACATTTAGGGGAAGATCGAATTTGCATCTTTAAATGTTGTAAATTCATCACATCATAAAGTGTGAGAGGTACCAGCTTCACGCTCTAGCAGAACTTCTCTAACTTCAAAAAGCAAGTTCTACAGTTCTACTTACTGACATTCATTTCTAAATAATCCTCAACACTTTTATTCACCACCTCAACGGATGCTGGTGAGATTATTGAGAATCCCTGTTCTCTTAAGTTTCAGAATTCTCTGAAGGTCACTTCTTTGGTGTTTGCACTCACTGTCATCGCAAGCAGCATAAACGTAACTTTATGCAGGTAACAAAGTTGCACAGTGGAATATTATCATACGGAAATAACCACAATCAGACCAGAGATCAGACTTTACCTGACTTTACACAGAAATGGTGCAGCAAAATCGAAAGAAGGAAGGATGTGGGCATCAGCAAAGTTATTAATGTGATGTGCAGTTGGGGTGGAGAGTAGGTGTGAAGTGTGACAGTATGCTAGGGAAATGTAATAATAAAGTCTCTAGCATAAGGTAATGCAAGGCTGCACATCCCTCTCAATTTGTTATTTTAATAGAGAAACGTTGCGTTGCTGAAAGTGAAACACAATAATGCTGATTGGCTGACGGTGACCATGCGCTTTGGAGAATATCTAAAGCTGCTATATATCAAGGATTCAAGGACTTACGTCTCAGCAGGACCTGGAAAAACTTGTCCATGCATTTATCTTCAGTCGACTCGAATACTGTAACGGTGTCTTTACAGGGCTCCCTAAAAAATCAGCTGATTCAGAACGCTGCTGCTCGAGTCCTCACTGAGACCGAAACAGTGGATCACATCACTCCAGTCCTGAGGTCTTTACATCGGCTTCTCTGTCTGTCAGAGAACTGATTTCAAAGTACTGCTGTTGGTTTATAAAGCACTACATGGTTTAGAGCCAAAATACATTTCTGATCTTTGTTATGAACCATCCAGACCTCTCGGGTCGGCTGGGATCAGGTCTGCTTTCTGTCCCCAGAGTCAAATCAAAACATGGAGAAGCAGCGTTCAGTTTTTATGCTCCGTATATCTGCAAACTTCTGCAAAACTGCAGGTCTGCTGAAACTCTCAGTTCTTTTGAATCAAGGCTGAAGACTTTTCTTTTTACCACAGCCTTTAATTAAACCAAATGTAAGGCTGTAGATCCATATCGTACACCGCACTGTGACTTTTACTGTCCTGTTTTATCCTCTTTTTATTTCCTATTTAACTCTTTAAAATGTATTTTATCCTGTTTTCATTTTCTATTTCACCCTTTTTTAAAATATATTTTAAAGCGGGTTGCTTTTATGTTTTAAGTAAAGCACTTTGAAATTGCCTTGTTGTTGAAATGTGCTCTACAAATAAACCTCTCTTGCCTATTATAAATTTTGTTTTAAATTAACAAGAATTAATGACAACATGTGATAAACCCACACAGAATGGTTTTATGGTCTGCAGGTTTCCTTTAGATTTATCACCACTCTATACGGTGCAGTTTCCTGCAGTAGTAAGTAAAACTAGGTCAGTGGTGTTAACAAGCTGACACTATGCTGCTTCTGATGTGTGGAGGCTGTTTCCTGCTACCAGTCCCGTATTCTAAACAAATGAATGGAAACTGACCAGAGAGTATATTTTCGTCGCCCACTGTCCCACCAGCATAAACAGCCAAAAACAGAGCTTAAAGAGAGTGAATGTTGGACTTAATCAGGTGGACACAAACACAACTCTGATTGGGTGATGATGTTTATCTTTTCTGCTGAATGTTAAAGTTTTCTAACTTGAAAGGTGATAACATGTCTGCTTGTGCTTAAAGATTGTTTCCACCGCCCCCATGTGGCCAAGATAGAAAAAAAGAAACTCAGCCTACATTAGCTATGCACGTAATGACCATATTATTACTGTATTGGTAACCCAGTTCTTGAGTTTCTGTCTATTTGATCAGTGAGTCTGATTCACATGAAAGTTTGAACCAATTATCCATGTACAAAACACAAACAGGATGTATGTGTTAAAAAACATTAAAAAAACTTTATTTAAATAAAATTTGATAATTGTTAAATAATGAACTCTCTGATAAACTCTTTAATTAAGTATCCCTTTTATTAGAACACATTCTGATGCAAAGCTGCTAAAATAAAAATAAAAGTATTATATGTATGAATACTGTATGTATTTTCCATTATACACTGAATTTACAGACACAGAACCATTTTTATTTTAAACTTGGGTGACTTCTTCTCCAGGTTCCGATATTGATAAGTGGAGAAAGTGATGGAGAGAAAACTCCCTTTCTTGGATCAGTGAGGAAGTATTCAGATCCTTGACTTGAGCCAAAATACTAATACTACACTTTACAATACTCAGTGAAAGTTCTGCATTGAATATAAACAAATATTCTTAAAGTATTAAAAGTAAAAGTACTCAAAGCAGAAAACCCAGACAGGATTTAAAGGTCATGTTACAGTAAGGTAGATGTTGTCCATAAAGAGAAATTCAATTTGCCTTTCAGAACCATACAACAAACAAACAAGATAATAAATAAATATAATAAACACCACGGCAAAAAACAGGAGGTTTGCTTCTAAATGATTTTTGAAAGGAAACGTCTGTGAAGGTTCTCAGTCATCCAGGTCATAGGTATCCAAGGAAGGTTACAATCAAGGGCAACTGGACCTGGATGAAGACACTTGAAGACATCACGTCCCTCATCTGAGAGACGTTTTCAGTTCAGTTCTCTCCTGAACTGAAGTAAATACAGTATCCTGGATGATTTTAAACTTCCTTGTTTAAAAGAAAACGTGAAAATGAGGGTACTAATGTGGAATGGCTAACCGGTTAGTGAAATGCTACATAGCAGACAACATAAATTAATAGACACAATTATACAAATGGTAAACAGAAATAAACTATAATCAATGGAGCAGTGCTGTGGATGAATTTGAGTTTAAGAGTCTGATAGCTTGAGGGGAAAAGCTGCTCTGCAGTCTGGTGGTGCGACAGCAGAAACTTCTATATTCTTACTATATACTTCCCAGATGGCAGCAGGGTGAAAAGGCTGTGGCTGGGTGGGTACTGTCCTTTAGCATCTGCAGACACCTCACCTCACTGATATCACTGATGCAAAGGAGATTGGTACTAATGATCTTCTGAGCAGTTTTAATCAATAATATTCATAGCCAAATGTGTGTGTAATACCTTCACATTCACAATAAAATTACTGTCAAAATGTGATCGCTTACTTGGAAACACAGGTGATGGTTTTTAAAAAGGCTAACCAGGGATCACCGTCAGCTCTGCAGCCACTTCATTATTACAGAAGTATCTTCCAGAGTCTGAGACACCAGCTCTGACAATGTGCAGAGATTTATCTGCCAGCGAGCTGTATCCTTTATACGGTTTATGAAGGAGTCTTATGTCCCGGTCACCGTCAATTAGAAGTATGTCGACCCTGCGTCCGTTTCTCTCTCTGCTCCACATCACTTTACCCTCCACAGAGTGAGGACATGGCAGAGTGACGGGGTCCTTCTCCTTGATTGTTTTACGGATTATTCCTGCTCCTGAAACACAGTTTGTAGTTAAATTACAGGAGAAAGTATCAGTGATGTTGTGAGAGAGTCCTGCCTACCAGGTCATTTACAAGAAGAAGAATATTCAACTGTCAAACCTGAGCAGTGAGCAGACAATCAATAAGACCTTGTTGGGAGAGAAAATTTATCTGAAACTGGGATGGCAATGGCACCGTGGACACATGCCTTTTGTGTAGGAGACTCGGGTTCGATTCCCGCTGTAACACATCCACCAATATGTCTCTGAATAAGAAACTTAACTCCTACTTTCTCCAGAGACGTGCAATCTCTGAAACGTATAGCAATTGTAAGTCACTTTGGACAAAATCCTCAGCTAAATGACTTTTTAATTACCTATTATTATTATTTATATTTATATAATTATCTATTTTTTATTATAATTATCAGAAAAATAACAAAAATTTCACTATAAGTGGGCAAACTGTATCTGCTGAATATGTGTTACCTGTAATAAAAGGAATAACAGAAGACAGTATTTATAATGTTTTGAGAATGTCCTGCCTACCAGGTGATTTACCGCAGAATAATTTTCACCTGTCAAACATGAATGACGCTGAAGTTAGCTTCAGATTCGGCAGTTAAAGGTCAAGTGTGTTAACTTAGAATGAGACATTTACATAGCCGCGGGTCCCCCCTTACATGGATGTCACCATGTTTCTAAAATTTCATGAAAAGTGGACCAAAAGCTCCAGAACAACTTCTTAAAATTGCTTGAATAAAAATGTAGTTACCTGATGGGATCACCGTCAGCTCTGCAGCCACTTCATTATTACAGAAGTATCTTCCAGAGTCTGAGACACCAGCTCTGACAATGTGCAGAGATTTATCTGCCAGCGAGCTGTATCCTTTATACGGTTTATGAAGGAGTCTTATGTCCCGGTCACCGTCAATTAGAAGTATGTCGACCCTGCGTCCGTTTCTCTCTCTGCTCCACATCACTTTACCCTCCACAGAGTGAGGACATGGCAGAGTGACGGGGTCCTTCTCCTTGATTGTTTTACGGATTATTCCTGCTCCTGAAACACAGTTTGTAGTTAAATTACAGGAGAAAGTATCAGTGATGTTGTGAGAGAGTCCTGCCTACCAGGTCATTTACAAGAAGAAGAATATTCAACTGTCAAACCTGAGCAGTGAGCAGACAATCAATAAGACCTTGTTGGGAGAGAAAATTTATCTGAAACTGGGATGGCAATGGCACCGTGGACACATGCCTTTTGTGTAGGAGACACGGGTTCGATTCCCGCTGTAACACATCCACCAATATGTCTCTGAATAAGAAACTTAACTCCTACTTTCTCCAGAGACGTGCAATCTCTGAAACGTACAGCAATTGTAAGTCACTTTGGACAAAATCCTCAGCTAAATGACTTTTTAATTACCTATTATTATTATTTATATAATTATCTATTTTTTTATTATAATTATCAGCTAAATAACAAAAATTTCACTATAAGTGGGCAAACTGTATCTGCTGAATATGTGTTACCTGTAATAAAAGGAATAACAGAAGACAGTATTTATAATGTTTTGAGAATGTCCTGCCTACCAGGTGATTTACCGCAGAATAATTTTCACCTGTCAAACATGAATGACGCTGAAGTTAGCTTCAGATTCGGCAGTTAAAGGTCAAGTGTGTTAACTTAGAATGAGACATTTAGATAGCCGCGGGTCCCCCCTTACATGGATGTCACCATGTTTCTAAAATTTCATGAAAAGTGGACCAAAAGCTCCACAACAACTTCTTAAAATCGCTTGAATAAAAATGTAGTTACCTGATGGGATCACCGTCAGCTCTGCAGCCACTTCATTATTACAGAAGTATCTTCCAGAGTCTGAGACACCAGCTCTGACAATGTGCAGAGATTTATCTGCCAACGAGCTGTATCCTTTATACGGTTTATGAAGGAGTCTTATGTCCCGGTCACCGTCAATTAGAAGTATGTCGACCCTGCGTCCGTTTCTCTCTCTGCTCCACATCACTTTACCCTCCACAGAGTGAGGACATGGCAGAGTGACGGGGTCCTTCTCCTTGATTGTTTTACGGATTATTCCTGCTCCTGAAACACAGTTTGTAGTTAAATTACAGGAGAAAGTATCAGTGATGTTGTGAGAGAGTCCTGCCTACCAGGTCATTTACAAGAAGAAGAATATTCAACTGTCAAACCTGAGCAGTGAGCAGACAATCAATAAGACCTTGTTGGGAGAGAAAATTTATCTGAAACTGGGATGGCAATGGCACCGTGGACACATGCCTTTTGTGTAGGAGACACGGGTTCGATTCCCGCTGTAACACATCCACCAATATGTCTCTGAATAAGAAACTTAACTCCTACTTTCTCCAGAGACGTGCAATCTCTGAAACGTACAGCAATTGTAAGTCACTTTGGACAAAATCCTCAGCTAAATGACTTTTTAATTACCTATTATTATTATTTATATATTTATATAATTATCTATTTTTTTATTATAATTATCAGAAATAACAAAAATTTCACTATAAGTGGGCAAACTGTATCTGCTGAATATGTGTTACCTGTAATAAAAGGAATAACAGAAGACAGTATTTATAATGTTTTGAGAATGTCCTGCCTACCAGGTGATTTACCGCAGAATAATTTTCACCTGTCAAACATGAATGACGCTGAAGTTAGCTTCAGATTCGGCAGTTAAAGGTCAAGTGTGTTAACTTAGAATGAGACATTTACATAGCCGCGGGTCCCCCCTTACATGGATGTCACCATGTTTCTAAAATTTCATGAAAAGTGGACCAAAAGCTCCAGAACAACTTCTTAAAATTGCTTGAATAAATGTAGTTACCTGATGGGATCACCGTCAGCTCTGCAGCCACTTCATTATTACAGAAGTATCTTCCAGAGTCTGAGACACCAGCTCTGACAATGTGCAGAGATTTATCTGCCAACGAGCTGTATCCTTTATACGGTTTATGAAGGAGTCTTATGTCCCGGTCACCGTCAATTAGAAGTATGTCGACCCTGCGTCCGTTTCTCTCTCTGCTCCACATCACTTTACCCTCCACAGAGTGAGGACATGGCAGAGTGACGGGGTCCTTCTCCTTGATTGTTTTACGGATTATTCCTGCTCCTGAAACACAGTTTGTAGTTAAATTACAGGAGAAAGTATCAGTGATGTTGTGAGAGAGTCCTGCCTACCAGGTCATTTACAAGAAGAAGAATATTCAACTGTCAAACCTGAGCAGTGAGCAGACAATCAATAAGACCTTGTTGGGAGAGAAAATTTATCTGAAACTGGGATGGCAATGGCACCGTGGACACATGCCTTTTGTGTAGGAGACACGGGTTCGATTCCCGCTGTAACACATCCACCAATATGTCTCTGAATAAGAAACTTAACTCCTACTTTCTCCAGAGACGTGCAATCTCTGAAACGTACAGCAATTGTAAGTCACTTTGGACAAAATCCTCAGCTAAATGACTTTTTAATTACCTATTATTATTATTTATATATTTATATAATTATCTATTTTTTTATTAATTATCAGCTAAATAACAAAAATTTCACTATAAGTGGGCAAACTGTATCTGCTGAATATGTGTTACCTGTAATAAAAGGAATAACAGAAGACAGTATTTATAATGTTTTGAGAATGTCCTGCCTACCAGGTGATTTACCGCAGAATAATTTTCACCTGTCAAACATGAATGACGCTGAAGTTAGCTTCAGATTCGGCAGTTAAAGGTCAAGTGTGTTAACTTAGAATGAGACATTTACATAGCCGCGGGTCCCCCCTTACATGGATGTCACCATGTTTCTAAAATTTCATGAAAAGTGGACCAAAAGCTCCAGAACAACTTCTTAAAATTGCTTGAATAAATGTAGTTACCTGATGGGATCACCGTCAGCTCTGCAGCCACTTCATTATTACAGAAGTATCTTCCAGAGTCTGAGACACCAGCTCTGACAATGTGCAGAGATTTATCTGCCAACGAGCTGTATCCTTTATACGGTTTATGAAGGAGTCTTATGTCCCGGTCACCGTCAATTAGAAGTATGTCGACCCTGCGTCCGTTTCTCTCTCTGCTCCACATCACTTTACCCTCCACAGAGTGAGGACATGGCAGAGTGACGGGGTCCTTCTCCTTGATTGTTTTACGGATTATTCCTGCTCCTGAAACACAGTTTGTAGTTAAATTACAGGAGAAAGTATCAGTGATGTTGTGAGAGAGTCCTGCCTACCAGGTCATTTACAAGAAGAAGAATTCAACTGTCAAACCTGAGCAGTGAGCAGACAATCAATAAGACCTTGTTGGGAGAGAAAATTTATCTGAAACTGGGATGGCAATGGCACCGTGGACACATGCCTTTTGTGTAGGAGACACGGGTTCGATTCCCGCTGTAACACATCCACCAATATGTCTCTGAATAAGAAACTTAACTCCTACTTTCTCCAGAGACGTGCAATCTCTGAAACGTACAGCAATTGAAGTCACTTTGGACAAAATCCTCAGCTAAATGACTTTTTAATTACCTATTATTATTATTTATATTTATATAATTATCTATTTTTTTATTATAATTATCAGCTAAATAACAAAAATTTCACTATAAGTGGGCAAACTGTATCTGCTGAATATGTGTTACCTGTAATAAAAGGAATAACAGAAGACAGTATTTATAATGTTTTGAGAATGTCCTGCCTACCAGGTGATTTACCGCAGAATAATTTTCACCTGTCAAACATGAATGACGCTGAAGTTAGCTTCAGATTCGGCAGTTAAAGGTCAAGTGTGTTAACTTAGAATGAGACATTTACATAGCCGCGGGTCCCCCCTTACATGGATGTCACCATGTTTCTAAAATTTCATGAAAAGTGGACCAAAAGCTCCAGAACAACTTCTTAAAATTGCTTGAATACTAATGTAGTTACCTGATGGGATCACCGTCAGCTCTGCAGCCACTTCATTATTACAGAAGTATCTTCCAGAGTCTGAGACACCAGCTCTGACAATGTGCAGAGATTTATCTGCCAGCGAGCTGTATCCTTTATACGGTTTATGAAGGAGTCTTATGTCCCGGTCACCGTCAATTAGAAGTATGTCGACCCTGCGTCCGTTTCTCTCTCTGCTCCACATCACTTTACCCTCCACAGAGTGAGGACATGGCAGAGTGACGGGGTCCTTCTCCTTGATTGTTTTACGGATTATTCCTGCTCCTGAAACACAGTTTGTAGTTAAATTACAGGAGAAAGTATCAGTGATGTTGTGAGAGAGTCCTGCCTACCAGGTCATTTACAAGAAGAAGAATATTCAACTGTCAAACCTGAGCAGTGAGCAGACAATCAATAAGACCTTGTTGGGAGAGAAAATTTATCTGAAACTGGGATGGCAATGGCACCGTGGACACATGCCTTTTGTGTAGGAGACACGGGTTCGATTCCCGCTGTAACACATCCACCAATATGTCTCTGAATAAGAAACTTAACTCCTACTTTCTCCAGAGACGTGCAATCTCTGAAACGTACAGCAATTGTAAGTCACTTTGGACAAAATCCTCAGCTAAATGACTTTTTAATTACCTATTATTATTATTTATATAATTATCTATTTTTTTATTATAATTATCAGCTAAATAACAAAAATTTCACTATAAGTGGGCAAACTGTATCTGCTGAATATGTGTTACCTGTAATAAAAGGAATAACAGAAGACAGTATTTATAATGTTTTGAGAATGTCCTGCCTACCAGGTGATTTACCGCAGAATAATTTTCACCTGTCAAACATGAATGACGCTGAAGTTAGCTTCAGATTCGGCAGTTAAAGGTCAAGTGTGTTAACTTAGAATGAGACATTTACATAGCCGCGGGTCCCCCCTTACATGGATGTCACCATGTTTCTAAAATTTCATGAAAAGTGGACCAAAAGCTCCAGAACAACTTCTTAAAATTGCTTGAATAAAAATGTAGTTACCTGATGGGATCACCGTCAGCTCTGCAGCCACTTCATTATTACAGAAGTATCTTCCAGAGTCTGAGACACCAGCTCTGACAATGTGCAGAGATTTATCTGCCAACGAGCTGTATCCTTTATACGGTTTATGAAGGAGTCTTATGTCCCGGTCACCGTCAATTAGAAGTATGTCGACCCTGCGTCCGTTTCTCTCTCTGCTCCACATCACTTTACCCTCCACAGAGTGAGGACATGGCAGAGTGACGGGGTCCTTCTCCTTGATTGTTTTACGGATTATTCCTGCTCCTGAAACACAGTTTGTAGTTAAATTACAGGAGAAAGTATCAGTGATGTTGTGAGAGAGTCCTGCCTACCAGGTCATTTACAAGAAGAAGAATATTCAACTGTCAAACCTGAGCAGTGAGCAGACAATCAATAAGACCTTGTTGGGAGAGAAAATTTATCTGAAACTGGGATGGCAATGGCACCGTGGACACATGCCTTTTGTGTAGGAGACACGGGTTCGATTCCCGCTGTAACACATCCACCAATATGTCTCTGAATAAGAAACTTAACTCCTACTTTCTCCAGAGACGTGCAATCTCTGAAACGTACAGCAATTGTAAGTCACTTTGGACAAAATCCTCAGCTAAATGACTTTTTAATTACCTATTATTATTATTTATATTTATATAATTATCTATTTTTTTATTATAATTATCAGCTAAATAACAAAAATTTCACTATAAGTGGGCAAACTGTATCTGCTGAATATGTGTTACCTGTAATAAAAGGAATAACAGAAGACAGTATTTATAATGTTTTGAGAATGTCCTGCCTACCAGGTGATTTACCGCAGAATAATTTTCACCTGTCAAACATGAATGACGCTGAAGTTAGCTTCAGATTCGGCAGTTAAAGGTCAAGTGTGTTAACTTAGAATGAGACATTTACATAGCCGCGGGTCCCCCCTTACATGGATGTCACCATGTTTCTAAAATTTCATGAAAAGTGGACCAAAAGCTCCAGAACAACTTCTTAAAATTGCTTGAATAAAAATGTAGTTACCTGATGGGATCACCGTCAGCTCTGCAGCCACTTCATTATTACAGAAGTATCTTCCAGAGTCTGAGACACCAGCTCTGACAATGTGCAGAGATTTATCTGCCAGCGAGCTGTATCCTTTATACGGTTTATGAAGGAGTCTTATGTCCCGGTCACCGTCAATTAGAAGTATGTCGACCCTGCGTCCGTTTCTCTCTCTGCTCCACATCACTTTACCCTCCACAGAGTGAGGACATGGCAGAGTGACGGGGTCCTTCTCCTTGATTGTTTTACGGATTATTCCTGCTCCTGAAACACAGTTTGTAGTTAAATTACAGGAGAAAGTATCAGTGATGTTGTGAGAGAGTCCTGCCTACCAGGTCATTTACAAGAAGAAGAATATTCAACTGTCAAACCTGAGCAGTGAGCAGACAATCAATAAGACCTTGTTGGGAGAGAAAATTTATCTGAAACTGGGATGGCAATGGCACCGTGGACACATGCCTTTTGTGTAGGAGACACGGGTTCGATTCCCGCTGTAACACATCCACCAATATGTCTCTGAATAAGAAACTTAACTCCTACTTTCTCCAGAGACGTGCAATCTCTGAAACGTACAGCAATTGTAAGTCACTTTGGACAAAATCCTCAGCTAAATGACTTTTTAATTACCTATTATTATTATTTATATAATTATCTATTTTTTTATTATAATTATCAGCTAAATAACAAAAATTTCACTATAAGTGGGCAAACTGTATCTGCTGAATATGTGTTACCTGTAATAAAAGGAATAACAGAAGACAGTATTTGTAATGTTTTGAGAATGTCCTGCCTACCAGGTGATTTACCGCAGAATAATTTTCACCTGTCAAACATGAATGACGCTGAAGTTAGCTTCAGATTCGGCAGTTAAAGGTCAAGTGTGTTAACTTAGAATGAGACATTTAGATAGCCGCGGGTCCCCCCTTACATGGATGTCACCATGTTTCTAAAATTTCATGAAAAGTGGACCAAAAGCTCCACAACAACTTCTTAAAATTGCTTGAATAAAAATGTAGTTACCTGATGGGATCACCGTCAGCTCTGCAGCCACTTCATTATTACAGAAGTATCTTCCAGAGTCTGAGACACCAGCTCTGACAATGTGCAGAGATTTATCTGCCAACGAGCTGTATCCTTTATACGGTTTATGAAGGAGTCTTATGTCCCGGTCACCGTCAATTAGAAGTATGTCGACCCTGCGTCCGTTTCTCTCTCTGCTCCACATCACTTTACCCTCCACAGAGTGAGGACATGGCAGAGTGACGGGGTCCTTCTCCTTGATTGTTTTACGGATTATTCCTGCTCCTGAAACACAGTTTGTAGTTAAATTACAGGAGAAAGTATCAGTGATGTTGTGAGAGAGTCCTGCCTACCAGGTCATTTACAAGAAGAAGAATATTCAACTGTCAAACCTGAGCAGTGAGCAGACAATCAATAAGACCTTGTTGGGAGAGAAAATTTATCTGAAACTGGGATGGCAATGGCACCGTGGACACATGCCTTTTGTGTAGGAGACACGGGTTCGATTCCCGCTGTAACACATCCACCAATATGTCTCTGAATAAGAAACTTAACTCCTACTTTCTCCAGAGACGTGCAATCTCTGAAACGTACAGCAATTGTAAGTCACTTTGGACAAAATCCTCAGCTAAATGACTTTTTAATTACCTATTATTATTATTTATATATTATCTATTTTTTTATTATAATTATCAGCTAAATAACAAAAATTTCACTATAAGTGGGCAAACTGTATCTGCTGAATATGTGTTACCTGTAATAAAAGGAATAACAGAAGACAGTATTTATAATGTTTTGAGAATGTCCTGCCTACCAGGTGATTTACCGCAGAATAATTTTCACCTGTCAAACATGAATGACGCTGAAGTTAGCTTCAGATTCGGCAGTTAAAGGTCAAGTGTGTTAACTTAGAATGAGACATTTAGATAGCCGCGGGTCCCCCCTTACATGGATGTCACCATGTTTCTAAAATTTCATGAAAAGTGGACCAAAAGCTCCAGAACAACTTCTTAAAATCGCTTGAATAAAAATGTAGTTACCTGATGGGATCACCGTCAGCTCTGCAGCCACTTCATTATTACAGAAGTATCTTCCAGAGTCTGAGACACCAGCTCTGACAATGTGCAGAGATTTATCTGCCAACGAGCTGTATCCTTTATACGGTTTATGAAGGAGTCTTATGTCCCGGTCACCGTCAATTAGAAGTATGTCGACCCTGCGTCCGTTTCTCTCTCTGCTCCACATCACTTTACCCTCCACAGAGTGAGGACATGGCAGAGTGACGGGGTCCTTCTCCTTGATTGTTTTACGGATTATTCCTGCTCCTGAAACACAGTTTGTAGTTAAATTACAGGAGAAAGTATCAGTGATGTTGTGAGAGAGTCCTGCCTACCAGGTCATTTACAAGAAGAAGAATATTCAACTGTCAAACCTGAGCAGTGAGCAGACAATCAATAAGACCTTGTTGGGAGAGAAAATTTATCTGAAACTGGGATGGCAATGGCACCGTGGACACATGCCTTTTGTGTAGGAGACACGGGTTCGATTCCCGCTGTAACACATCCACCAATATGTCTCTGAATAAGAAACTTAACTCCTACTTTCTCCAGAGACGTGCAATCTCTGAAACGTATAGCAATTGAAAGTCACTTTGGACAAAATCCTCAGCTAAATGACTTTTTAATTACCTATTATTATTATTTATATATTATATAATTATCTATTTTTTTATTATAATTATCAGCTAAATAACAAAAATTTCACTATAAGTGGGCAAACTGTATCTGCTGAATATGTGTTACCTGTAATAAAAGGAATAACAGAAGACAGTATTTATAATGTTTTGAGAATGTCCTGCCTACCAGGTGATTTACCGCAGAATAATTTTCACCTGTCAAACATGAATGACGCTGAAGTTAGCTTCAGATTCGGCAGTTAAAGGTCAAGTGTGTTAACTTAGAATGAGACATTTAGATAGCCGCGGGTCCCCCCTTACATGGATGTCACCATGTTTCTAAAATTTCATGAAAAGTGGACCAAAAGCTCCACAACAACTTCTTAAAATTGCTTGAATAAAAATGTAGTTACCTGATGGGATCACCGTCAGCTCTGCAGCCACTTCATTATTACAGAAGTATCTTCCAGAGTCTGAGACACCAGCTCTGACAATGTGCAGAGATTTATCTGCCAGCGAGCTGTATCCTTTATACGGTTTATGAAGGAGTCTTATGTCCCGGTCACCGTCAATTAGAAGTATGTCGACCCTGCGTCCGTTTCTCTCTCTGCTCCACATCACTTTACCCTCCACAGAGTGAGGACATGGCAGAGTGACGGGGTCCTTCTCCTTGATTGTTTTACGGATTATTCCTGCTCCTGAAACACAGTTTGTAGTTAAATTACAGGAGAAAGTATCAGTGATGTTGTGAGAGAGTCCTGCCTACCAGGTCATTTACAAGAAGAAGAATATTCAACTGTCAAACCTGAGCAGTGAGCAGACAATCAATAAGACCTTGTTGGGAGAGAAAGTTGATCTAAACTTTCACAACAAGTGGACCAAAAGCTCCAGAACAACTTCTTAAAATCGCTTGAATAAAAATGTAGTTACCTGATGGGATCACCGTCAGCTCTGCAGCCACTTCATTATTACAGAAGTATCTTCCAGAGTCTGAGACACCAGCTCTGACAATGTGCAGAGATTTATCTGCCAACGAGCTGTATCCTTTATACGGTTTATGAAGGAGTCTTATGTCCCGGTCACCGTCAATTAGAAGTATGTCGACCCTGCGTCCGTTTCTCTCTCTGCTCCACATCACTTTACCCTCCACAGAGTGAGGACATGGCAGAGTGACGGGGTCCTTCTCCTTGATTGTTTTACGGATTATTCCTGCTCCTGAAACACAGTTTGGAGTTAAATTACAGGAGAAAGTATCAGTGATGTTGTGAGAGAGTCCTGCCTACCAGGTGATTTACCGCAGAATAATTTTCACCTGTCAAACATGAATGACGCTGAAGTTAGCTTCAGATTCGGCAGTTAAAGGTCAAGTGAGACATTTACAGAGCGGGTCCCCCCTTACATGGATGTCACCATGTTTCTACGGTAGCCCAGAATGGACAAACAGCGCTACAGAGAATGTTTCGTCACTACGTTCTTCTTCTTCTTCTTCTTGTAGAATTCTGACAGTGTAGGCACTCATCACTACGTTGAATACGTACATTCAAAGGTGAAGAAGAAGTAATAATATACAGCAGGGCTCAGCAAATAAGGTTTCCATCTGAGCTATTTGTTATCCATTCGATGGTGGGAGAGAAGACATAATATTTGGACTAAACATTATCTCTGTTGCTAAATTGCAGGACTCTCACCTGGAAATTTGTGTGTTTGATTCCTCCCCCCCTCAACAAATGGATTCTGTAGCGACTGTTTCACAAGCTCACCATAAAGCATGTGCTGCAGTGTTTGTGTTCTGGCTTTTGATCCACATCCATCAACCTACGGACGCTTTCCCCAGTATCTCCAGGCAGAGGACATTTAGGGGAATCACGTTTTTCTGATGGCTCTTTTAGAGGTCTGTCAAGAAGCCTACACACTCTTTTAAATGTCATTCAGAATTAAAAGCTCTCAATTCAACTTGAAAAAAAGCATTGCAAGCAAAACCACTAATAAGGAAGTGATTTTGTGAGTAACTGTTGCAGTCATGACAGAACTATTTCAGCACCACTATCAAAGTATTTATTTATTATTATTTTCTGCCTCTCTGGTGTCTCAGAAGACAACCTTTTGGTCCTGTGTAGCTATCCTACACTCTTGTGCAACCTCACGGCCAGATGCCACTAAATATTACACACTTAATCTTTAAGGGGAAACTTAAGGGAATACTTAAATTAGGTTACACCGCTGAGAGACCGATACTCTATATCGCTATAACCCTGTCTGAAACACACTCTTTGTGAAAATACCATAAAGGGTGATTTACATGTGTTTTTCACATATAGACAATATTAGACCGGGTCCAGCTAGCTGACTAAGCCTCATATAAAAAGCACATGAATCCCAGTTGAAGAACAATTAAACGATGTACAATCAAATGTATGCAAAATTACTAATTAATTAAGTACTGCACAAAAATTTCCTAATTAAAAGAATGAAAACTCCTTACTTGCACTGGTGTTAGAGCCCAGAACTAAGGCTAAAAGGCAGCAGTAGATGTTCATCCTCATCCTGATGCAGACTGACGTTAATCACTAATCATTCAACAGCTTGAGCGCCAAACAGGAAGCGGTGTTTTTATTTATGCGCTCCTCACAAAAGCCTCAAAATAATTTTGTCTTCTATTTGAATGTGTGAACATACGTCATTGACACTTGGTGTTGGAAGGTATTGTGTGTTTTCCCAAGTTAGATCATCAGTAAAACGATGTGCAGTACTTAATGACTGGTACTTTCCAACAGTGATATTTGTCATCTTTGGTAGTCAACCTATTTTTGTTCTTTAGGTATGATGGCGTGTTGCATATAGGAGTTACACTAATTAAGATGTTTTACTTTGGCACAATTTATTTAGTGGGACACACAAATGTTGAATTGGATTTGCTGTTTCTTCAGATTTCTTACAGTTTTTTTCCTGCTTTTTATCAGTTTTTCTGCTTTTTCCCTTGGTTTCTGGTTCTCTGCCCGCCTCTCTGTGTTTTCTCCCCCGTGTGCTCTCTCTCCCTCTGCTCCTGAGCCCAGCCAACTACCTGCACCTGCAGCCCATCATCCACCTCGTCAGCCTGCCACACCTGCCAGTAATCAACCTCATCCCAGCCTGTATTTCAACCCCGGTTCTCCACACCATCCTTGCTTGATCGTCGTTGCTCCATACCCGGTGCCATCCCCACGTTCAGGCTTACATGTTTCTTGTTGTTTCACGTTTACCCTGTACCTTGTTGCTGTCTTCCCTAACCTTGTCCCTTTGTCTGTTTTCCTCCCAGGTACACTCACCCTCGTCCTCCGTTCGGCTGGTCTCACCCACTGGCCCACTCCTCTTTGGACTTCCCTCACGGCGTCCTCCCTGTTCCCCCGCCTCTCCACGCTTCCTCGGCCCCTGTGTTCCCCTGCTCTCTGGCCCCCTGTCTCCTTGGTTCCCCGTGCCCGTACTTCCCCGACGTCCTCCTCTCCCTCCAGTCCCTCTCACCCTTTTTCCTCCAATAAACCTCCTCCCTTCTGAGTGCTGCATTTGGGTCCTCTCTGTCCACACACCACACCCCGTAACACATGTGGAGGGTCAAAGCATCATATCTTATATGTACAAATAAAACTCAGATGTACTGTGTTTATGTTTTTTTAATGAAAGAAACCATGGTAAATACTTTTACAAGAAAAACACAAGGCACAAGAAGGTATTTCTTTACTTGGCTCTAAACCTTTTTGAATTTAAAAAAGTTTAGACTTATTAATAATGAAGGACTTTTGTTCTAAAAGTTATCTGAAGCAAAACATTGTTTGGATCCACTGGTCACATATAATCTACTAATGCTACAAATCATCCCGGTGTTGCCTTTATAACCAAATATGTACAAAATAATGTAACTACTATTTACAGTACTACAGCTATGAGTTATTCTGTCTTAAAATATCACAAGTTAAATGTACATTTCATTGCCAGGCTTCTAACGCAGAGTAAAAAGCATTTGTTTCATAAAGTTTCCTTCAAATATCTCAGAAGTCTGTTTTTCCTGACAGAATTAAAATATTTAGGTGAAAATGTAAATATTTTTTTAACTGTAGTTTCCAGATGGTTGGCATTTCCCCGGTTTAGTATATATGGTCGTCACCTGCATGATACCTGTTGATGAGAAAAAATTACTGTTAACAGAATTTAATTTAGAATTACACTTTGTTCCCGTTATCATCAATTTAAAAATGAGAGTTGCTATAAGAAAGGGAGATGTATGAACAACATGTGTTTGTGATGGTAGAGTTTTTGTAGATGTGCTATTTGCTCTGCTTTCTCTAGCTGTATGAGGAAATGCAAATAAAATAAATACCGTTCCCATTGTACTTTATTTTACGGTAACACATTAAATGCCTCCTACCCAATGTTAAAGAGAGCTAATGATTAAAGTCACCTTTATTATTTATTTCAGACTTAGGGTTGCCAAATTGGAGAATATAGTGGCTCATCAGTTAGAGATGTCTCTGTCAGAAGAATCAATATATAATTAACATATACAATTAGTAACAAGCATCTAGAATCTTTGATTAAACTGTTGTGTTGTTGAGTGGTCAGGCTTTACCTGCATTGTTTCCCGTCTCTGGAGGGTTATGGATTAGGTTGGCATAAAAGGGACTATTTTGGCTTGATCCATCTAAATATTGAAACATTTAACAAAATGTATTTATTAACCCGAATCAAACTGTGGGAGAGGAAGTTCAGAATCAGAATCAGAATCAGAAGGAGCTTTATTGGCAAGTATAGTTTTACACATACGAGGAATTTGCTGTAGTGATAAGGTGCTACACCGACATAAATAAATGTAGAAATATATAAATATGGAATAGAATAGAAGAACAACGTTGCAGATATATACATGTGCACTATTCTGGGTTTGTGCCGTGCAGAAATAACGCAACGAAAGAGAATATTGTGTACAGATTCTCCTCATTGCCTCTGGAACTGCCTTCAGGTCAGGGGACATTACACTGTGCAGCGCTGCCAGGGCTGACCCGGTGAGAAGCAACAAGGTTGCCAAAAAGGACTACAAGAGGACAATTGAGGACCGTTTCTCAAACAGTGATACAAGAAGAATGGCACATCCACCAACACACAACGCCTCACTGGCTGAGGAGCTGAACTGCTTCTACTTGGATCAGTGAACTGGATGAAGACTACTGACCCTGATGTAGTACCCGGAAAAGTACTTAAAGTATGTGCTGACCAGCTTTCCACCATTTTTGCCAACATAGTCAACCTATCCCTGGCCCCTGGCACAAGCTATTGTTCCACCCTGCCTGAACTCATCGGCCATCATCCCTGTGCCCAAGAACTCCACCTTTGACAGTCCAAATGATTACAGGCCAGTGGCACTCACACCTATAATTATGAAGTGCATTGGTAGACTGGTACTAAAACACCTCCAAACCAGCCTCCCCTCAGCCTAGCACCAGTTTGCCTACAAACATGGCAGATCAACAGAGTATGCTATCGCATCTCCACTCGGCACTCAACCATCTGGAAATCAGTGGGAACTATGTTTGAATTGTGTTCATCGATTATAGCTCTGCATTCAACATGATTACCCCGAATATACTGATCAGCGAGCTGTCTGACCTTGGCCTCTTCACTCACACCTACACCTGGATTCAAGACCTTCTAATAAACCGCCCACAGACTGTCAAGCTTGGACCCCTTCTCTCCTCCACCATCACACTCTGCATCGGTTCACCACAAGGCTGTGTGCTGAACTCAACACCGTACTCACTGTACACATGACTGAATAGCCCATCCAGCAAATACCATCATACAATATGCAGATGACACTACAATGTTTGGACTAATATCAGAGAGAGATGAAACTGCATAAAGGGGTGAGGTCTTGAAAGTGACACAGTGGTGCTCAGCCAAATATTTGAGCATAAACAAAACCAAAGAACTCCTCAGTGATTTCAGGTCATTAACACCTCTGTTAACACCCCGGCTGCTGTGAAAAAGGCTCAGCAGTGCATGTACCTGTTGAGGCCATTAAAAGATGTGGTCTGAATGAACAGCTGCTGACACCGTTATACTGCTTTATCATTGTGAGTGTACTGGTGTACTCCAAATCATCGGCTGTCCTCTGCCCTCCCTGGAAGACATTACAAACACCCACTATCTCAGCAGAGCCTCAGTCATCATCAGAGATTGTACTCACCCAGCATACTATCTGCTTGACTTCTTGCCCTCCGTGAAGTGCGACAGATCACTCAAAACCCAGACCAACGGACTCAATCACAGCTTCTTCCCTACCGCACTATGCATATGAATAAACAAATGTGAGGATGAATGAATCAATGTGTGTTTTGGCACCTCAAAGGAGTAGCTCTCTTTGAATTCTATTTTTTGGTTTGTAACGTTTGCTTTTTGTGAGTAGTACAAAGGGAACGACAAACTTCATTGATGTCTGTGAAGATACTAGAAATCTTCATCCAAGTCTAGTTGCCCTTGACTTTAACCTTATTTGGATACAAATTTCATCTCATTATACAACCATGTACCTGTCATTTGGTTTGGTTTGACATTTTAATTGTTTCCTGTTCTTCTGCCTCTTGTGGTTTGTCTTTCCTGTCTGCTTCTTGACATGACTACCTAATGTCTAGCCTATAAAGCCGTTTTTGTGATGTCATCCTAATGTAAAGTCTATGGGACCAAGAAGGCACACAAGAGTACTATTATTTTTATTCTTGTTTTTATTTTTTTAATCTATTTTTTAAATCTACTTTCAGTATCCGGCTGCATTGAAAGTTTTAACACCACCTGTTCTTTCTTCCCTGTTCTTTTTATTTATGTGCATTATTTTGTATTCAGTCACTTGTTTTTCATTGGATGCATTTTAAGATAAAAGTCCAGGTCTGGTTTTATTTACCTCGTCTGTAGGACCTGTATCGCCAAGTGGACAAGACAATAGTGGTGATGACGAGGACGAGCAGGACTACACCTATTCCAGACACCAAGCCATAAAGTAGTAGTCGGTCTTCAGGAGCAGATGGAAGACAAAGTCAAAAGTCATAACTTCTTGAAAAATTAAAAACAGTTCATTCACACATAATGCCTGTCAGATATACAGCAGTACAGGTTAGTAGCAGCCTCTTGAATTAAGGGAATTAAGTACAATTCGTAATTGGCTATTTCTATTTTATGCTGCTATTTATTTATTTCTACTCCACTGTTTTGTATTTTATTGCAGTACAGATGTTTGACAGCTGTAGTTAGAAAATACTTTTTACAACCGAACATGAGTTGAGTAATTAAATAACTATTAATTAACTATTAAATAACTGAAACTGACTGAATATCCTGACAGCAGTACATGAACCAGATAATCTGTAAAATACAACAATAAAAAATAGCAGGTTTCTCTGGCTCCTCCTGCTGCTCCTAATACAGATCACAAGAATCCCCCACAACCGAATCAAAACAACCAATCAGAGACAGCATGAGTCTCCAATGCAATTCACTGCTTGTGCACATGCTGCAGAGTCAG